GGCCAGCAGGGAGCCCATCTGAGGGCTCCGAGTGAGGCTGGGGCACACTCCCATTTCTGACTTACACTATGATAAAGCAGCACTGTCCCTGGCTGGGGATGCCCATGCCTCAAATCATAGGATCATAAGATACATTCAGCAGAGGCATTTGTTGGGCTTGCACTGACCTCTAGTGACAATGCAGGGGACCGGGGTCTTCAGTCATCGAGGGGCTGAGACGGCACACATGGGTGCTTGTTGTTGGATGGTTTACAGTGGTTTGCCCCAGCTTTTGGTAGGATTGTGCACATAAGCCTCTGGTACTGCCTTGGTGAAGAAAGCGTACTGCCCGATCAGGGTCTTTCTGCTTGGCAGACAACTGCAGTGGGCCTCAGGTGTCCCAAACTCCATACACCTCCCCACTAAACTGCTCATCCTCTCCAAACACACCAGTGCTCCGATGGTCTTCAGATCTTCTGCAGTGTTTGTTCTTCCTGTCCATCTCATTCTCCCTCCCATCAGTAAACCTGATTCCCCATTTCTTTCTGCTGCCCCATTCCTGCATGGCATCTGATCACAGCCAGTCCACCCTCCTGGCTAGGTGGTATCCATGCTTCTTGCTTCTGGGATGGTCCTGAGTACTTCATTCCTGCCCCTCACCTCTGCCCCCCCCTTCCTGTTGTGGTAAAGTATTAGCTGTCTTTTTCTACCTGCCAATCCACAGACATGTGGTGCTCAGATCACAGCTAACCCTTGCAGGAGGTTAAAACCTTCGCGGGAACAAAAGCACAAACGCCAATATGGTGGTTGCTATTTGCTCGATTTATTAACTGTGCAATTGCTTTATATACGCCTTTCTGTACATCGTGAGATCTTTAGTTCCCTGTTCTTTCCGTGCATCGCGAGATCTTCTGAACACTTCTCCCTGCACCTTCCCACATCCTGGCTCTCTTGCAGAGCCTGCAAGCTCTTTCCAGAGCAAAGTGCAAGGGTTCTGATTTCTTTGCCACAAAGCTGCTTGCTATGCTGCATGGCTGATCATCCTCTATATGATGCACACGAAGCATCGCCTGCTTCAGAATGCTGTTTAGAAACAGAACCCCCTAAAAAATACATTCAAGATGTGCTGAGGATATCTCTTACCTCCCTGAGTCTGTAAACAAAAGCGGTGAAATATTTGGACACTATCCTGGGAGCTGCTAAATGTGCTTCCGAAATGCTAAGCAGCCTCAGCTTTTCGAGACATCAGTAGAACTCACAGGCTGTCAGCAGCTCCCAGGAAGCCCTGCATTGTCCAGGATCATGAGGGAGACCAGTGTGAGGAGAATGTGGAAGCCTCTTTCCCAGCCCCCAGCCCAGTCTCTGCATGCTGACCCACCTCTCACAGCCATGCCTATAGCACTACCTTTTCCTTGCTTGGCTAAGCTGCTTTGGTGTGTGCATGTCTGGTTGCAGGCTTCTGATAAAAAGATAGTGTCTCACTCAGTTGATATTCACCTGTCTCTCAGAGCCACACAATCCCCTACCCTTCCAATGCTCTGGGAAGTGCTTTTACTCACTGAATTACAGCTCAGCCCCCTCAGCTCCATGTTATCATCAAAGCAAGGCCCAAAAAGCTCTACAGTGAGCATGTCAATGAAATAAACCTTTTAATCTAAGAGTAGCTTCCAGAGGAAAAAGTAATCTATGATGCCCCCCAAAAAAACTCCGGGAAAAAAGTCACGCCATAAGCCAGGCTTTTGTCCACCTGCAGATTTATCTGGAAGGTGGAAATAGGCAGCAGCACCCCCAACACCTCTTCCTTTAGCACCTCTGACTATGTTATGCTCTCCAGGTCATGTGTATGAGAGTGACCACATTCACAGGGTAGCGTTCCACAGCACTGCCTCCTCTTGTAGACCTCACTGCAGACGGATTCAGCTCTGTTGCACAAATCCTGACACTTTTAGCCTAAACAAGGATAGCCTAAACAGATCAGATGAAGCATCTTGGCTTCTCATAACTCTCTGCTGAGCATTATGCCTTCTGTACTTGCCTCTAGCTGGTTGGAGGCCATTCACCCTATGGATTGACCCTGCTGGTCCCTGGCTAGCCTGGTCCACCAGAAGCCTGAGAGAGGGTGAAACAGAGGAAGGCTGCCAGCTACAGCCTTCCATGCTAGGTTGAGCAGAAAGGCAATCAAGTTTCCTAAGCAATGTAACAGATGACAAGGTGTATATTTATATCAGATACCCACATACTTTGGGTGAATTGTGCAACATGCAATTTGTCATCATGCATCAGATCACTGTGTATCTAATCCAATACCATGGCTCTGACAATGTCAGAGAGCTGAGTTGCCTGCAGTGATGCATCTCACCAACTGTGCAATGCAGGAACAGAGGGTCTGGGATTAAAATTCCTCCCCAGTTCCTCCAGCAATCAGGTACCCTGACTGCTCTTATTATCTGAGCAGGCAGAGCTGCAAATGTAAATAATCACAAGATCAGGCAGCCTTCTGAAGACAACTAGTACAAATGCAGCATACATTTCTGGGCTGCCCCCTGGGCTGGATATGTTTTGAGTGGGATAATATTTCATGCTGATTTCACCTTGCTTTCCTCTGTTAAGTGATTTTTGGGCTAACTGCACCCTGGATGCCAGCAGTGGAGATTAACCCCAGTGCTGGAAGTGACCCATAATCTTTTACAATGCTCCTAGCATCATCTTTTATGCCTCCTGTGATCTCCCCATTCCTTGCACTTGGGGTTTTTTTGGTTGGTGTTGTTGGTGGTTTGTTTTTCCTCTGTTGTCTTTGCTGCAAGGGAATCGAGCCATTCTCACACTCGGTGTGCTGGCAGGCAGCTACATTCTGTAATGGTGTTGCTGCCTTTGTGTTTGCAGTGCTGTCATCACACTTTCATCAGCCCAGGAGTCAGTTACTTTGGCTGGTTTTGGCTTCTGCCATTCACAGAGCAGGGCTCTCCCCTGAGCTGTCTGCAGCAGCTTTTGCAACACTCCCATGAACATGTTACAGATAATCTCAAACTCGTTAATCTGGGCAGTCATTGGACTGCTGCTTCCCAGCCTCCATAGCTTGGCTCTCTGGTCAGATCAAGAGTGTCTCTTGCTCTTGCAGCCTTAGCTGTCCCTCATTTTTAATGCTTCCTGCAGCTGATTTACTGTGGTCAAATGCCCTGAATTGGTCAGTTATTTGTCTATGGAAAATCTCTTCCTCCTTGCACTGTGACCTGCAGAAAAAGGACCAGGGAGGGGGAATCCTTCATGTGCTCTGCAGTGGAGTCTCAGGCACTGGAATAGTTTTATTTCTCTGCTTCTCCTCTTCCAAAGGCTTCTTTTCCTAGTGCAAGGACTCTGCTGTGAAGTAAAGGAGTCAGTTTTGATCCCGGCCCTTGTGAGGCTTGGTCCCTGAAATCCCTGTAATGGCTCTTTCAGGAGTGCTATTATTGTGTCTCACAGTTCATGTGTCACTGGGTCAACATTGCTTCAGGCTGTGTTGCAAGATGATTTTTGAACCCATCATACGACACAAGCAATAGTGCCATTTGCTCCTATCCTTTTCTGCTCCCTTCTGTTTTGCAACTGATTCATCTTTGTTAGCATCTGCTTTTCTGTTTGGCATGTTCTGTCCTGTTGGTGTCCAGTGTAATTCCCTGCCTACCAGCCCCTAAAGTAACAGGACTCAGATGATGGTGGTAGGAGCTACCTGGTGTGGAGCAAAGACTGTCTCATTTGGAATGGGTTAAATTTCAGGGACTAGATTGACTAGGATGCCAGAGGACTCAGTGATTTTTTCCAACTGTAGATTAAGGCACCAATCCTTTAAAATTTGAAGCAGTTTTTCAGGCAAACCAAGCTGTCCAGAATGTCCAGTAGCCTTCATATCCTTGCTGATCTTCCAATGACAACAGTTTGTGAAGAGGCAAAGGTTGTGGAGACCATTGTTCAAAAATTGAGACCATTGCCTTGACCTGTCCTGAGCATCTCAACAAAGTTGGGATTCTTTGTCAGCCTGCAAGGTATCATATTGTCATGTGTGATCTGTGCTGTGCTAGCAACAGGGCACAGACACCAGCCTACCAGTGGGTGTGCTCTTGCAAAGCTCCCTGGCTCGCATCCCCCAGTATTCCCACCTCAGTTGCTGGCTTATGTCTCACCTGCCAGTCTTAGCTGATAGCTAGATGAGCCTTTTCCCCAGTGCCTGACTGGTCTTTGGTTACCCTGTATTTATAGGAGTGACAGAAGGATGAGGCTCAGCAGGACTCCTGGAACCTCCTGAGACTAAGACAAGTGTCCACCCATTGCACACCGTGAGCTTTCCCACACCCTGCTATGTATGAGGTCCCTCTCTGGTGAAAAACTTCAGCTCCTAAAGATTCATGTCACCATTCTATTCTCAATTAGTTTGTGTCTTAGGGTCTCCATAAAGTGGATTAATTGATAAAGAAAAATTTCCTACCCAGCTGATTCCCGCTCACAGGATTGTGCCCCAGGTTTGCTGACATCTACGTGTGTCCTAGGCTTTGGAGTTTTTGCTTAAGCTCTAAAGCTGCTGAGGTGTTTGGCCAGACAGCTCTAAGGAGACAACAGCTCTACCAATTCATATGGCCCAGGCAAACAACTCGGTGATTTTGCTTTGGGACTCACTTGTGCTGAGGGTGGTAAGACATAATAAATCCTGCAGCTTCTTAGGCACCAGCTTCCACAAAGATGAGATACTGCTAGAGAGAAAAAATACATTTCCAGCTCTCCTGTGTGTGAAGCAAAGCCTGGCTCTGGGACTGAGTGTTACCACTGCTCACACTTACCTGCTTGAGCTTGCAGAGAGCCTGAAACAGGAACTCTGATAGTTGTTCTGCTTCCTCCTCCCGCTCAGAACAGGAAATCTCATATACTGACAAGCAAGAGAACATGGTAGTTCTGCATCATCTTAAAGGGGCGAGCAGTGAGAACAGCAAATGCTTCTGTTAACAAATACCTGGAACACTAATGAAAGAAAAGCCAAAGCAAAACTCTTTATAATAAAGGGAATCAGATTTTATTTTTATACCCTCAAAGTTAAAAATATGCATTTCAAAATATTTACAGTGACTATATATGAAATAACCTTTGTTAATGAAACAGCAACATACAGTACTAGAATATATCCACCAAATTGATAACGTCTATGTAAGAACAAAATGTAACAGAAAGAGAAAGAGAGAGAGGTAAATAGCATCCATGCACCATCTGCACCTGCATGTTTTTTATACTCTCTGCCTTTTGGTTGTGGATGAAGACAAGGGAAGTTTTGATCTCTTGTCCTTTACAAATGCCACTTGTCACTGGGATCCTTCAAACTTACCCAGAAATTCATGGGTTGCAGCAGTACCAATGCCTTACTTTCACATGCCAGCTTTTCACATGGGGACCTTGTATTACAGAGTGGACTCAAAATCTCTCAGCAACCCTGGGAGGTAGGTAGAGTTCTATGGAAGAATTTGGCAGATGGAAAAGCACCAGGTTAAGTGACTGGCCTAAGGTCGTGCAGCAAGGAGCAGAACTCACAAGCCCTGCCTCATCTCTCCTAATCTCTCATTAGGGAATACATTTCCTCTGCTAACCAGTATCGTCTGCCTTTGAGATGAGTTGTGTCACAAGGTGGGGGTCTGAGTTAATACTCAGTACTGGGTGACAATGTAGGAAAAAAACCCTGTTTATCTCAGGACTTGTCTTGGTAAAGATCTGCAAACAGTTGCAGTGCTGTTATCATGTTCTGGAGATGAACATAAGATTTTAGTGTAGACACACACCCAAATGATTCCCTCCCTGCATGTGCATCATTGAGCAACTGCATCCTGTGTAATCAGGAACCCCTGTGTGTCTTCACCCCAACACTCTCTCTCTCTCTCTCCCCATCATCCATACCTGTATATTTGCCCTTCCTACTTGTATCTGATTCAACCATGGGGGAAAAAAAAATGCTGCCTTATTTCTGTAGGTATTTTAATATGAATTTAATCTGTTTTCTATTGGGTTGCTTCTCAATGTCTTTAACTTTCATATATGTGCATATATATAATGTAACAAAAGGCCCATCCCATTTGTTTCAATGGACAAAAATAGGGGTCATAAGCGTCACTGGCCTACCTGCAAGGCACACTGAAAGGTAAGTGAGAAGGGCTCTAGAAAGGGAAAAAGATGTAGCCCTTGTTTTTGTGGAGTCCTCCAATCATCACTGCTGAGCTTGAAGCTTTGTGAAGGTATGACGTGACTTTGCAGAAAAGGAGAAGAGCTGTATGGGTCACTTGCAGATTTCGGGTGCAACAGCCCCAGGAGCGCTAGATCAGTTGGAGCTGTTTCTCCCTCCCTTTGGTGAAGGAGTTTCTGAGGATTCTAGCATTGTTAGTGATTTTTCTGTGGTGGTGGCAGTGGTGACAATGGTGGCTGCTTCTGTCTATTGGCCCAACAGTTCTCTCAGCAGAACAATTCTTCCCCCTTCCCAGTAGCCAACCCTTTCCCCTGGACTCCCATCAGCCTTATTTTTTCCTAAGAACAAGGTAGAGGATGCCGATGATGAAACTGAAGCAAAAGCAGATCCAGGCCAATATGAAGCAGTAGCCATGGTGAGAACTTGTGGATGCAGGCATCTTGCCTGTGAACCGAGCTGTGTAAATGGAGACTCCAATCAGAATGCACATCCCTGTGGGAAGGAAGAGGGAAAAGAGAGTTGAAAAATGCACAGAAACCAGCATTGCTGCAGGACTTATGAAGTACTGTTACCCCCTGAGATTGTAATGTGTGTCTTCTGCCATATGAGAGAGGGGTTGCTGCCCATTAAGCTTGTTTAAGGAGGATTTCTCTTGCAGACATGATGATGCAAGAGACTCAAGTCTTCTTTAGTGGATACCATGGGGAATAGAATAAACCGTTGTTAGGAAGAAATCAGTAATAAGATCTGCAGACAGTTTGATGCTACATGTTGAATCCCATGAGCAGTAGCAGTCTGTTTATTTCCCTGCCTTCCAAAATACTTGAATCCTTTTCGTTGTCTTTCAAAGGTATTTTGCAAAGCCTACTAGGTTTTTTCTAATGAAAATCTACAAATATTTTCATTATATACAGTAAAAAAACCACCAACCAAACAACACTTTCCAATTCCTCAGTGCTTTGTTTTATCAGAAAAATGAGCCACTGGAAACTTTTGGCTGGCTGACAACCTCTCCTGACGGCCATGTGTGGCAGACACGTGTGGCTACTTGCACTTGCAGAGGCAGTGGGACGCATGCAGAGCCATCACAAGGCGTGCATACTTACAGCAAACCAGCATGATGGCTCCAGTGATGTAGAAACGTTTGCCTTTCTCCAGGGTGAACAGCTGGACAATGAACATGACAAGTGCGATGACAGAGAAAATGATCGAGAGGATCATAAAGGCTTGCACGGCTTTGAGGGAAGCTGTGAACACACAAGGAACACGTTTCAGAAGTCTCAGCCTTGGTGTTTTGCACCAGGGTTCTGCAGTTCATCACTGCAATGAAAACGCAGAGGTCATTTACCCTCATCACGACTGCTGACTGGCAGCTGCTCACAGGTCCTGTTGCACAGTAGCCAGAGTCCTGACGAGGCTGTTCCTAAATGGGAAGAACCCACCATCCAGACCTGAAACAGGATGAAAGAGTTGCGTCAAGGAGGAGGGAGGGCTTCCTTGCTCTTCTAGCCAGTTGTCAGACTAAGCCGTGTGGGGAGCAAGAGTAGCCCAAGTGCCACGAGACAGGGAGCTGAAAAAGTCCGCGGGGGGGGGGGGGGG